TTGATTGTCAATTTCTAATATTGTGGTGTAAAAAAAAAAAAAAAAAAAAAAAAACCCAACGCAAACAAAAAAAAAAAAAAAAAATCCCAACGCAAACACATGGATTTGTTTTTTTAATGCCTGGACCCTGACAGAGGCTCTAGTCAGCCCCTTGATTCAGGTGTACATTATTATTATTATTATTTATTTATTTATTTCATTTAGGTATACATATTGTTATCTTAATTAAACTTTATACACTTATTATAAATATGCTTAAAAGACATTTTATCTGACAGTCCTATTTAATAAATTTTTTTGCTGATAGCTAAATTGTTAATCAAGTTTGATTTACAGGATAAGGCAAAACTAAACTTTAAATCACAATAAAGCAGTTATTTATTATACGAATAAACAGAGATCGCATCGCACATCGCAATGGAAGAGGCTTCTAAATCAGGCCCGTATCCAGGGGGAGGGGGTTTATGGTTCGGGAGAACCCCCTTTTCTAGCAAATCCTCCTCTTTTCTGGCGAACCCACCTCTTCAAATTTCAAAAATAAGTCCTTCAACCCAACTAATGCACTGCAGACCCACCCAGACACAGACGTTTTTCAAACTTTTATAGCATTATTTAGACATAAAGCACAAAAATTATCTTGCTTTGGGGGTTTGGCCGACCCCACCAGGGCTTCGGCCGTGGACCTCACGCCAAACCCCCCCCCTACCTTTGAAGAACATGGCTAAAGGCCTGCAAATTCTCAATTTCGCAATTCTTGAATTTGCCTCTTTAACAATAGACATGTAATAGATAGTTTCTCTTTTTCCCGATAAATCATGTAATTTTCTTTCTTCTTTAAGAGTGGAAAAGAACAATTTCCAATTATGGATGGATACATAGATATCTATGTCTATTCCCTTATCTATGTCTATGCTCCATCACGAATGCTTTGCTGTTTTTATTGTTTCACTGCTTTTGATTGACTTTCGGCAAACTGGGTTTCAGCAAAATGGGATTTCGGCAAAGTGGACTGGCAATCTGGGATTCGAAAAACTGAATTTTGACAATATGGCGTAGATCCAAAGAAACCTCACCACCAGGCCCTTCCACAGCCCCAATCGGACGTAATGCAGTGACGGCGCCATATATTTCCAGATATGAAGATCCAAATTTCTTGACACCATGCCAGGAAAATTCACCCTGAGACTGTTAAATGATTACTACAGAAATTAGAAAACTGTATCTTTGTCCCGTGCCCCCAACGAAGCACGGGCAAGGAGACATCGCTAGCCCCACCCCCTCTGCGTTAGTGTTAAGGATTGAGTATTGAAACACGCGTTTGCTCACATAACAACCACACATTGTAGAAGGGAAATAAAATGAGAGGTTTTACCAAAATAAATAGCTTTTACTGTACATGAAAATTGGCCTATGACTCGTGATTATTACATTGTTAGCTTTTTAAAGTAGTACAGTATTGTGTTTTAGATTCTTGGGAATTCCATTGCTCTTATGTAACATCACGAAGGCGTAATAAAATATGAAGAATGCTAATGAGGTAACATCTTGACACAGAGTAAGTAACAGGATTCAAACTACCTCGTTCTAAATGCCGGTATTACAGCACATCGTGCGCAATTGGTTCAATCTAGAATGGAATTCATCTTATATTATATTTGATATTTAAAATTACAACTATCTTAATAATAATAACTGTAATATTATTAAATTGTTATTATTACCTTATCATCATCATTAGAATAAAATAAATAATACATAAATAATATTTAGTTATTAGTAATTATAATTATCATCACCATCATTATTACCACCATCATCATTAATGTTACTAGTCCATATTATGAATCTTGTCATTATCATTGTCCTCATCATCATCATAATCATCATTACCATCATTATTATTACTGTAGTATTATTAAACATTTATTCAATTGACAATGGTATAAAGGCCTACGTGGTTATTGTCTGCATCTCATCACAATCTTCTCACAGTGCATGTAAAACCTCAAGTAAAAGCCCGATGGTCTATATGAAGGTGTCACTGAATACGAAACATCGGGAAAATGGCGGGGTAAAAAAAATTTTCCAAAAAAAATATGAGCTATAGCTCATGGTTTTTGACCAAAATTGGCCAATTTTTAACCTGGCCGTTTTCCCAGATTCGGCCACATGGGCCTAATTGAGTATCATCCGATTTATCGTTATTTAAGCTTAAATAAAATAAATAAATAAAATTAAAAAAAAATTTAATAGGCTTTAAGTAGCATTCATCAACCTGCAGAGGAGCTTAATGTTAACGGATGACGTCATAATTTATTCCTTTTCCGTTGCGGCGTACGTTAATTTCAGGATTTTACGTGCTCGACGTACGTTAGTTACGGGTTTGCGCATGCGTATTTCGATTTGTTTACAAAAGGGGCGGAGCTATCGCGCTGCATGTTGGGTACTAACGTTAAAGTTAAGGTTAACGTTGTGCGGCGAAAACTACCTATCCAACCGTCCTTTTCAGTGGATACTTCTCCAGTCACTATGGCTACATGAACTACGATGTAAAGATTGAAAGCCAGGAACTTCTGCTGCAAACACCTTATCAACTGTGCTACATGGGCTTCATTCTAATCGATTTCAGACACACGCACACACACCCAAACACACCCACCCCCGCACACCCACACACCCATATATGTTATATTAAATTATTTTATATTATATTATATTATGTTATATTATATGTATATATATAATATACATATATATATAATATACATATATATATATATATATAAATACATATATAACTTGGATTAGGTAAGTACGTCCCATGCGAGAGAGTGCTCTATTACAAGTTAAAAACCGTAAGAGCAGAATATACATAAGTTAACTGGACGGTGGACGGGAGTCTATGACGCACGTTTCACGCTATCACGATCCTCAGATAGACTGATTGTTAGCACATACATATATACATATTTATATATATATTGGTATACATATATATACTGTATATATATAAATAAGCCTATATATATATATATATATATATATATATATAATATTATGGTAACAAGAGACAATAAACATTTTCAGATCATGACTTCATCATTCATCATAGGCGAAGCCTATATTTAATTCCATGTAATTTTGGCCTTAACGGCCCCAACAAGACATTTTTCGGCAGTGCTTCTACCATCATTAGTTATCGTATTGCACGCAGGCAATCATTAGTATAGGGTTATAAAAATGCAATGTTTTACAAGCTAAGAAGTTGTGGAATTAACCATGACTATTTTACAAAACACAATATGAATAAAGATGAAGTAAAATCAAAGTATTAATGCCAAAAATGGGGTGGGGTGGGGGAATGAATTTAAAATGCCAAAAATCAATAAACATGAAAAAGTTATTTGTTCAGTGAAGAGCTGCTCACACTAAAATGAAAGATTGTTTTGACGTTTTCAGTAAAATAAGTATACTCTATTTCAATGCCCACGAATTTTTCCGGTGAGCCGGCCTACACTTGCAACCTTCAACGTACAATGATCAAACACGACTACAACAATCTGATGATGGAGTAATATAAATTATATAACAAAAATCAAGCTTTGATATAATTTCTCAACATGAAATAATAAACAACAGGTAAGAGTATAATATACCTTTCCGGAGTGTCAATCAAACTTAACAACTGACTAATCAGAACAACGCTAGAAATATGCGCGCGTCTTACAAACACACGTGTTGTCCCACAAACGCACGTGTTCTCGTATGTTTTAACACTGTCGTCTTGTGGTACCTTAGCAACAAAATCCAAGGGGCGGAGCTTAGCGGAAAGGTCTATTAATTAAACCTGTTTACATTTGCAATCACATATTAAAAAAATGAACAAATATAAATCTCTAAATCTTCTAATGAATTTACATCATAGCTGTTTTAACTTGAGCAACAAAATACGCACCCAACCCAACCCACTACCATTTCGATTAAAATGGTGCGATCAGGAATTTACCCTTTTTGGAACTTGCAAAACAAATACTCAAAATGGGTCATTAAACTTATATTAATAGAAATTGAAGTAAAATATTTAAATGATACATATAATCTGCTGATTACTACAGCAAAATTTAGCATGATATAAAATTCAATTAAAATTGTAAAAATCTTAAATAGTCGAGACCCATAGTTTGAGAGACGCTGTAGTTGACACTCAAAATAGATCCCACCCCCTGATTAATCCCTTTAAAAGTGCAGAGCATTCCAATGTGTTTGCTAAATGCAGATTTTGCTGAAGTAACAACAAGTAACAAGTACTGTCTGTCAGATTCAACAGATAATGTCTGATAAGACTTTGATAGTATACTTTTAAACACATGATATATGGGTGTGATGACGATTCGTAATGGCCATATATGGTGTGGTATGACATCATTATACCCATATATGGCAGAACTTAATAGGATGCTGTATGTTGTAAAACCAGACATACACTATCAGGTTTGTCTGTCACATTTTAAATTGTTTGATCAGATTTTGTCTGAGGAAGTTAACATTTGAATACAGTACGTTTTTTATATACACTATCAACTATTGCCTGTTGAGTCAGACCAAAAATGTCTATGGTCAGCTTTAGACAAATTGCGATTAATATTTTTTAATCAAAACATTTATTTTGTCATCTAATACACTACCTTTTGCAGTACTGGCGATCTTAAATTCAGTATTTTTAGAAACAATAAATATTGAGCATTACAAAACTTGTTCAACATGCGAAAAAATGTCTTCAACATGGTATAACCTATTTTCACAAATGGTGATGGTAACACTAACATGAAATACAGTAAAGTTAAATAGAATATTTTAAAAACATACAAATTAATTACTCTTGTCCAATTAATTTACTATTACATTTCCGAGTGTCAATCTAATTCAACCACTCACCAATAAGGACATAAAAAATCGAAAGGTCCACTGATTAATCTCAGATAAGAAAGTATAATGTATTGAAATGCATGCCATCGTGTTGGGATTCAATATCTTGAATCATCATTCCTGATGATGACATAATTAATGTCGATATATTGAATCCCAACATGATGGCGTGCATTTCAATACTTTCAATAAGGACATGTTATTTAATTGCCAGGGCTGGAAATATCCCACAATTCACATTAAAAGCAGGGGTGGATCCAGAGAAAATTCTGGGTAAGGGTCATGTGACATGGAAAGTACCGCATCCCACCACCCCCAGTGGAAAAGTGGGTGGGGTTACATTCATTTGTATAAAAATTAAATACGAGTACACAAATTACAACTGTTACAGAGGTATCACGCAGAGCTTTCATTTTCTATATTCTGTCATATATTCTTCTACCTGCTTCCTTTTCCCTCATTTTTTATTTTTTGGGAGGGGTAAGGGCTCTAGCCTCCATGGCCTTACCCCCTGGATCTTCCCCTGCTCAGTCATGCTTCTCTATGAATGGTTGTCGTTTTGTGGGACCTTAAAGCTGCAATATCCAAGAAGCAAGGCTTAATGAGACAGTCCTTTATACAGTATATTAAATTACCATGTGTTTAACATAATGCATGTAAAGTTAACTACAATTTACGAAAAAAAATACATTTATACAATAAGTCATGCTTTATACAGTATTTCAAAATGCCCAATGTACAGGGATGAAATGTCCCAAACAAATTCATTCCTGTTAATTAATTTTACAGTATCAAAATATAGTCAATTGGATTTAAAAGATTTCATTGAATAAACTAATGTGTACTAAAGATCAGTACTGTGTACGGTCGGGCTCGAAGGTTCGCTGTCGATCTCTCTGTCAAACACACCGATTCTGTCAAGTTTCTCATCTTCCGATTTAGTCTTTGTACTCGCAAGTTCAGCAACATCATCCGATGTTCCTCCTGCTGCATCGCCTTCTTCTTCCTCATCTTTTCCAATTGTTTTTTCTATATTGGCAATGTTGTCATTCGCTTCCTCATCACCATTATCTTCGTCTGTGTCTGGGTCTACTTTAGACTCAACTAAACTCGACTCTAACCGCGCCATAAGACTGTCCAGCGGCGTATTTTCCGACATATCTGGCGACGAATGAGGCTTGACATCCGATTCTTTCTCACTTTTTGAAATTATTCGTTCCGGACTTGTGAACACTTCTATACGTTTGATATTGTCCTGGTATGATGGTGTATTAGCGCCATCTTCGGTTGGTGCCTTTGAATTGTCCTCAACAATGTCTTGCTCAATCTCCGAATATTTTGCCTGACTCTGTTTGTCTTTCTCATCAACTCCGTCCTCATCGCCACCATTGAGTTGCATAACAATTGCCTCCTTAATAATTTCTTGTGCATCAGTGGGTGTCTCCTCCATAACATCTGCATCATTATTATCTGGTTTTACTTCCTTCTGCAAGGGACTGGTGTCTTCCAGTGTGATGTCAACCTCTTCCACTTCACTCTCTGTCGATTGTTCAAAGCTCTCCTTTGATGTATCCACCTCTTTTTCTTCAAACCTCTTCTCACCTTCAGTCGCGAGGATCTCTTTTATCGGCGTCAGTCTTTCTTGCCGAGGAGATGTCACTGCTTTGGGAGTTATTACAACATCGCTGGAAGCCTCCTCTACAATGATTGGCGGTTCCATGGCATCATCAGTGTCTTTCGTTTCTAAAGTCTCTGCCAACGTCAATGCTGATCTCAATTGCATATTTGCATCGGTAAGTCGATTGCGGCTATCAGCGAGACTATTATTGGACGATGTAATTACTAGCACACCTAGAAGTTCAGAAAAAATTTTTATTACTTGAAAAAGAAATTAACATTTTTGAAATGAGCAAATTGACAAATCTTGTTTAGGGTTTTTCAATTTACAGTACTTTGGTCTTTAAATACAGTCTAGAATCTGCTTTTTTTCCCCATGAATGATATGGCGCCCTCTATTGCTTGCCTTGTACAACTATGATGTGCAATATTATTCTGACTTTGAAAATAACTAGAGTGAGTCTCACCTGTCTTCTGTTTGCTGCATTGCTTGCAGCATAGAGCAATTAGGACGTCTAAGTCGTCTTCTTCACTTGAACCAAACACATTACTGGACCACATAGATCTAAAAAAAAAAAAAACACATTAAAAAAAACGTCTTTTAAATATCGTTAGATTAAATGAATAGAAAGTAAATGAATTCACATTATATTAACTATATATGGGGCTTGCCATGCCAAAACCACTATGACTGACCAAAACAAGAAAATTAACTTTTTAATATTCACATTATAAGCTATAAAATGAATTATAGGTCATTACTGGAATTGACTTACTATTACAAAAGTTATGGGTAAAAGTGTTACAGCTTCTCTATACTAAAGTACTGCCACATTATTATGCTAACTACTCAGTTTAACATTAAGTGACAGTATGCTGGCTTTGGGATGGCCAGACTAATATGGATACTGTTTAAACAAATTTAAATTTTCTGATCAATTTCATAAAATTTCTTCAAACACTGGTACTTAGTTCACCAATTCATGAATGTCACGAAAATTTAATAATTATTTTTAAAAAATTAAATATTAAATTTTTTTTAAATAATCCAAAAGAGAAAAATCTACCTGAAATTATGAAGCTGCAGAATGGCTAATTTGAACTGTTTGGTTGCTAGGCAATTCTCCAGCTTGGCAACAGCAACTTCTGGGGTCATCTGTGAGGTGTCAATATTTGGATGTGGGACGTCTGGACTGTTTTCTACATCACTGATCGCTTGAATTAACTCAATGCGCATAGAATTTACCTCAGAAGAACAGTCTGTGATCTGGATAAATCAATAAAAAATATTTATTTCATGAATTGATATTAAATAAAACAAAATAATTTAATTATAACTAGAAATTGCAAATTGCAAGTGAAGTGCTGCGAAGTACAACTGCATATAAATGTTCTTCGAACAAAATTATTTATGCGAGTCATGTGAAAATAATGAATAATAAAACTATAACAAATAATATGAGACTCGACCCATTGTCTATATTAGAACACTTCTCATTGGGTAACAAAGTCGTAATTTTTCATTTTTGTCAAAAAGTGTCTATAGTGTGGTGAATTATGGTTTAGGTTTTTTTTTAATAAAGTTTCTAAAATTTCTATGTATGTGGAAAATGTAGTTGATTACCAAAGGTTACAATTTTTATTTTGAAGACTGCATGGTCTAGGAAGTGTACACTGTTTTATGGGGCAAGTTTCCAAGGGTGGGTTGACTGCCAAAGAGTGTTGCCAAAGTGCGAGCCAGCGTGTTATTTGATCACAAGTGCGAGACATATCACAAGTGTGAGTCAGAGAGCCATGACGTCACGACAATAGATAGAGACGTTAGCCAGTTGTGCGAGGTATCGGCTGAGATTTGTGGAGTACAATTAAAAAAACAACTATAGGTCTAATAATGAATTATTGTGATGTTAAATAGACAATGTTAGCTACTGTATCAAAGAGCAATGTTGTTTTTCATTGGGACCCTCGTCCCTTCAAGGTTAGGCCTATACCATCCTAGCTAGTCTAGGCCTAGAGTAGGATAAGGCTAGCGCGACATGCGGACGTTGGTACGAGTAGGTTAGTCTACAAACGTTGCCTATAGTAATTGATTTCACCCGGCAGAACGAAAGAAGGAAACTCCGCTTTTCAGTCGTCTTAGGCACTCGTTTTTTGAAAAACAATGACATTTCAGAGGTAAAATTGCTGTCAAGAATATGAATTGGCTGCTTCGCAGCAATAATGTATGTATATTTATTGTAGGCCATTATAATTACTACTATAACAAATTGTTATTCTTTCAGCCTAGCTAGTCTTAGCATTCTGGGCATTGTTAATCTGAAGGTTGGTACAGCCACATGCCACACAACTAAAAGATTAACTAAATGTGGCCTAGTTCACACCTTCACGTCGCGTGAGATTTACTGAGTGAGAACTATGTGGCTTGCGCACAGCATGAACCTGTGCTCAAGTTGGTGTTTCAAGCCACCTGACATGTTGAAAAATCAGGAAATGTTTCTGTGTGCAGGCATATGCAGTAATGATTATTAGATCTGTTGGTATGGTGTTACACAGCTGCGTATTAATTTCCTGTGGTTTTACTTGTGCTTACAGTTAAACCATGACATCAATCTGGTGTGGGCTCCAAGGAGCCTGTATTTTGTGATGAAATATTCTTACTTACTTTTGCAATATTCTTTGCTGATGATGTTCTTGTGACGAGCTTGCAGTAGCTATCATACAACATGAGAAGCTGGAAGTGCAGTCGATACAATTTACGACACAAATTCACTTGCTGTAAAAAAATATTTGAAAATAAATTACTACAATATTCCTGTATCATAAAGTGATTGAACCTGGAAAAAACCAAAGCAATTAACAGCAAAGACATTCAAATCTACGCAAAGGAGAATGAAAAATGATTGAAAATTTAAGCAACCTTTGTGTAAACCAATTTCCTCCATATTTTTCTCATATTTTCCTAATTAAAACATAATGACAACAACAAAAGAAGTACAGTTAAATGAGTTGTATATGAAACATTGCTTTTAAACTAAATACTATATAGTTCTAGTTGGCAACCTGTAGTTCGCTACCCAAGTTTGGGTCATGAATGAATTTTTCAGGGTCGTCAGACATTTCTATGTTAATTGGAGGTCTTGGATCATGGGAAGCTATGGCAAAAAATTCTTGGTCTTATGGAGAAAGCGGTTGCCGACTGAAGCCATATAGCAAGGGTAAGAAAATGACAAGGTTTGAAGAAGCAATTGAATTTTTCTGAGTGTTTTACACAAACCCGCCACCAGAATGACGCTCTAAAAATCTAAGTATAGCACGCATCCCCATAGTCGCATTTAATATCTTGTATTTGGAAAATAAAATGTTTGTCTAGAGCGACGCTTCTCAAACTCCAGGTTGCAAACCAAATTTGGTCAAAGGATACAAGCGAAAAGACATGATCCCTACAAAAAAAAAACCACAACAGCTGTTCCAACCACTCTCTTTCAATCCATTCTTGTGTTCATTTATTAACTCATTCATTCATTCATCCTTCTATCTATCTTTATTACTTTTCATCTATCTATCTATTCATTATTGTTGATAATATGTTTTTAAGACTCTACATTTACAATAAAATATTATAACCAAAACAACACATTTTATATAACATTTTTGTAACACACAAACGTACAAATGTATGCTACTTTGCGAAACACTTGTAATGACATGAAATTATGCAAATTTATGCTAATTTGAATAACACTTGGTGAAACATTTGATGAAATGCCTACTAATATATGCTAAATTATGCTAAAATATGCAAAAATATGCTAATGTACTGTATGCTAATCATCTTGTGACCTATCAAAGTACAATGACAAGGTGTGATATCAAACATTATGCAAATTGATGCTAATGTGAACTACATTGGGTGAAACATTTTAATGAATGCCTGCTAATGATATATGCTAACATTTATAAAAAAACTATGCAAATTTATGCTAATGTGAATTACATTTGATTGATGCCTGCTGATATAATATGCTAACATTATGCTAATGCATGTAAACATTATGCTAATATATGTATGCTAATCATCCTGTGACCTATCACAGTACAATAATGACAAAGTGGGATATCAAAGCTAGGCAAGGGCTTTGAACTTCCTGCTGGAGCTCAACATTTCTGCTGTGTGCGCAAGCTATAAAACACAAGTGACGTGTTTCTAATAAGCGGCTACTAACATTCAGGAGACAAAGCATTATGAGCAACTTAATTAAATATTATTAATTAATAATTAGCATCATTTCTTTAAATTATTTCCTTTTATTTTGTTGTTTTCAAAATATAAATTTGGAAAGGTCCACTGATTGATCTCAGATAAGATAGTATAATACATACTCCAAGTATCGAAATGCACGCCATCGTGTCGGGATTCAGATTCAGTGTCAGGATTGAATCCTGACACGATGGCGTGCATTTCGATACTTGGATTATGTATTATACTATCTAATTTGTATTCCTTTCATATTCAAAATTAATGACTTAACAATGTTTGATCAGACTATAGCCCTGTTCACGCTATCAAATTTTATTTGAGATAAACATGTGACTGCCCAAATATGGTCATGATGACATCACATCATGACCATATATAGGCACATCATGACTATATATGGGCATACAACAGTTTTTGTCAAAGAAAATGTGATAGTCTGAATAGGGCTTAAGATTTATCTGTTCAAACAAAATTATTTTTCCATTACAAAGAATATTAAAAAAAATAAAATCCCAGAAAATTGCGAGAATGACCCTAAGTTACCATTGAAATAGAATATCCAAGTGAAAGTATTTGGGAAGAGAATTCTAAGACAGATTAAAGTGATCTTAATGTCAACATTCTTTTTTTTTACAAAGGCATGTGTGTGAAGGAAGCCACAAAAACTGCTTGATTTATGCAAATTTGTTTATAACGACAGGTGACAGAACAGATGATCTACTTGAGAGAAGCTAGAGAATTTCTAAGTAAACATTGTGTCAGATTTACTTACAAGATTCAAAAAAAGTTGCTGTGGAGAAGAATCAGTAGAGAGTGGTGTGTGTCAATTTAACAGACATAAAATTTCATAGTAAAAAACAAACTCTATCATCAATATTATATAAAAAGAAAACAGTTCCTTTTTGATAAATAAATCATTATTTTATAATCTCTAATATACAAAAAGTACCAAAACCAGCAAAATAACAGAGAGTTAAATTTAATTAACTGTATATAAAAAAAAACATACCTGGTTTTTTGGACTCCTTCCATCAGGTCCCTAAAGTGAGAGATAATAAAGTTCAATTAAAAAGATTTTACCATCATAAAATAGTCTATGGGAGCAGGGACAATGGATGGTGGGGTGCCTAGACACACTAAATAGAGTATCCCAATAAACTCCACTTTTGGAGATACATAACCTCATAAAAAACCATTATTTGACTAAACTTGCCAAAAAGAAGAAAAAGCATTTTAAAGGTTAAGGTTTATGCTAGAGATGCATACACCATTTATACCTGTAATGACATTGTCTGTATTTTGAGAGATGTTTTCACAGCATCCAAATTCTACAAGAAATGAAGAGTTAATATCATTATAATTATGGATGAATGGATTATATACAGGAGAAAATGTTCTGCCCTCTCATAAGTGTACATGTCCTTTAATATAATACAAGATCTACAGTATTCAATAAATACCCCATATAATAAACAGAGCAGTCAGATTTTGAAATGATCGAACGGTTCTTTTTTTTTCTTTTTGCCATAAGGCTTTTCTTTAAGGAACAGTGGGAACTAGTTGGTTTATCCAGGTACGTATTTACTAGACTGCCCCATATGATAAATGATGCTCGCTTAAGCACAAAGAAAGCAAACAAAGAGCAAGAGATTTAAAATATCTATCGAGTTTCAAGAAGACTGAACCCAGGACCACAGTATTATAAGGTGGCACTCAAACACCAAACCACAGTGTAATTAGATATTACATAACCTACCTGTACTGTAAGATCTCTCTTATCAACATAGGTGTTGTAGTGTTCTTGCAGTTCCAGCACACAGTACTTATGCCTCTCTAGCAGGTTGGCTGACAGCATGGTTTCGGTGTCCACGTACACGTACGGGCAATCATCTCTACTCCTCAGAAGCTCTAGAGTGCTAAGTGCTACGTAGTTAAGGCATGTCAACACAACGCATAGGTTCAATATAAGTATAAAATGAATACGTATATACTCAAATAAATGCCCCATAATTTACTTGTAAATGTGGAACTACAACGCATACTGTATTGACTGTCAAAATGAGTTAATGCGTGATCATAGAGACTTAATGATCCGAACCGGGTTAGACAAAATTTAATTCTACTGGAGTAGAATGTTAATAGAATGTGTTGGGAATGATGTTGCTTCCATTAGTATTGTTTACAGTAAGTTAAGGGCATTTATTCGTGGAAAAAATAAATGTCCAGGGCATCTATGTGAGGGAGGCATTTATTCAAAATGAAGCCTTGAAGGGGCGTTTATTCGAGGGGGACCTTTACTAAAAGCAGGGCATTTAATCAAATAAATATGGAATATTATAATAGGTTATAAATATTTTGGCAGAAATCTATTTATTTTCATATCATTCGCATGCAAATATTATTCGCCAAAAAGATAGAATATGCCCTGAACTAAGTCTAATAAGATTTGGGAAGTTTTCGTCATAAGAAAAAATCTAAATGTCACAGAATTTGAAATCAAGACTCTGGGACTGGAATGCGAGACTCTTAACCAGCAACCTTTGACTAATAGTAACAAAATTATTGAATTTCTAAGGATATGAAATTGTGTAGCAACGTCCCGGAGCTTGTCACCAAGATAGTTACAAACCTCTCGTGTGAGGTTGCAGAACCTTTGACACATGACCTTAAATAGCTGCATGAACGTGTGAAATGTGTTGACGGCAACCTTGCCGCTGGTGTCGTTCAGGATGGCTTGCACGTGCGACCGCCAGACCTCTTCCACCTCGTCGACTGGGATGTAGATGAAGGTGGAGTGAGTGCTGGAAAAATTGGCTGAGTTTGAGTCAAGGCCCTCTAACTCGCTAGCAATGCTGGGGAGAAAATAACCAATCAAACAAAAGGAAATGCATAAAAGATCTTGGTTACTATGGTTATAGTTAATAAAGCTATAATGGTTACTGTGGTAATGACCCAGTAAAAAAGTCATATCAGTTACTATGGAAATGACCCTGCAAGTATGGTTACTCTTGGAATTTTAATCTATGTTACATGTTCCTTAAGTTATTCTTAAGTTTTTAACTTCCTAATATAAATACATTAATGATAGATTTTGAATAATAATAATAATTATTATTATTATTTGGAATCTTCACTTTCATAACAGTGGTACACTTCCTCTAGTGAAGGTGCGTCCAAAAAGAAAACAAAACAAAAAACACATGACAAACATAAAAGCAAGCGAGATAAATTAAGACCATTTACAAACAGTTATTAATTAGACCTACAAAAAGAAAGATTATTAAACAAAATATATACATAAAAAATATCAATTTATGAATAAATTTGTAAGTTTTATACAAAATTATTAAATTAGGTACAATAAAATACAGTACACCAATTAGAAGTATCCTTTCATTTCCTAAGTGATATTTACTAACCTTGAGTATGATTGGGCGGGACTGAGGTGGCCGTGTGTGGATGCGGGGTCATAAATTGAGGCTACTAATGTCTCATTCGTGTTGTCTTCAACTCCAGAATTACTGTTGGTCTGGTGAAAAAAAGTTATATAAATATTTATTACCTGTATATGTAATTATTCAATTATATAGCATTTAATAATTACAAATCACAAATGATTGGAAAGTGGTATTTTTTAAAATAGCTTCATTTTCCAATCATTCCATAGCAACAGTGTGTAAGAATAACTAGAGAATCAGAATAATCCCCTACAGGGTTTTATGCAAACACGATTTGATTTGATGTAAACCAATAATTTCAAATTTCCTCTTCTTCCGCCGGCACCGCCACTGTTTATAGTTTTTAAGAGGCACTTACCTCATCATCATCTGACGAGTCTTTCATCTCCCCGTCAATCACTGCGTCCAAGTTGGGCGGAGCACTAGGCTCTATAGTATCCAGACTTTCCAAAGACTGTCGACTAACACACCAATTAAAAGCTTTCTCATCCTGAAAAATGAATTTTAAAATAAAAATTTTAATAATTTGACGCCAAAAAACAATTTGTTGTGTTGGCGATGGATGTGACATTTATAAATCCGAGTCGGTTGGTAGGTAGGTCGTAAATTTTTTGCCATAACATTTACTTATGAAGATTTTTAGATACAAGAACATATTATACAGTGTACACAATGACAACACAAGATATTACAAGTGGAAGACAAATATTTGAAGTTGTACAGAAAGATTTGAATTAATGAGAATGTTTTTAGCATCCTACGTTTCCTTCAAGCTCCACGTCAAGGAAATCAAAGTCTTTGAAGACAAACGTCTCATCGCTTTCGTTCAGTTTGTTATCATTGTTGATGTTGTCTGCTAATGAAGTGGTCTCGCTGGAACATGTGCTAGGCTGGCGTTCAAGGGCAATGTCGCTTGTAGAACTGAAGATCACCTGCAGAATAAGGATTTATTATTTAATACTTGTTGTCTCTCACAGGATTATAATAGGAGGGGTTATAAGTAAGGCCTAGGATGTAATGTCATCATCTTTTTATTGTCAAGCGCCCAATTATCAGCTTTTCTTTACGAGCTACCCCTGGAATAACAATTTAATAAATCACATAAAATGCTTAATGAATTCTATGTTGTATTTACGTAGTACAGAAGGCACAGTATGGTGACGGGTGAGAGAATACATCCTAGTTTCACATTGTCATTCGACTGTTAATATATGATAATAATAATAATTAAAATGATGCTATAAAATGAAAATTAAGTAATTTACTGTACATTAATCACAAGAAATGAAATTACAGTTTTACAAGTGAATTCTCTTGCTGATACTCACCGATGGACTCCTGGACACGCCAACATTCTGTCCAAGAGCTTGTAACACTTTCACTAGTCTGTCTCTAGTGCGTCGCTGCGAGTGCTGTGGTTTGCGCCAGGCAGACATCACCATACTCTGGTTGGCACTTGCTGATGTCGTGGCAGTTCCGGATGATCCACCAATTGAGCTCAACTGCGATACCTCTGTGGGTTCCGTGCTGAGACTGCTGTCATCACTACTGAGCGTGCTTGCTGCTGACTCATCACTATGTGTCGTCATCACCGTCATCATTGATGTAAACTTTCGACGAATCACAGGAGTCTATGGAGAAGACGAGAAGATTAACTGTTTGGAGGAGTGAAAAGAAGATGAAAAGGAGAGGAAGCAAAAAAGGATGTGGCTGGGCTATATTCGTAGCTTCAAAAATTATACCACCAGTAGTAGTAATAATAATAATAAAAACCTATTATTATAATGCACTTGGAACCTATTTCTATTATGATCTCTTAGTTTTTGGTACACTTAATATATCCTGTGAAACTGTCTCTGCTGACAGCAAACTATTCTTAGCCATTCAACAAAAACTTTACTTGCAATTGTTAAATTTTGACCAAGACATTATCTTTCTTAAATTGTACATCTGTCCTCACTTGGATTACGACCATTAGCACACAAATATGAACTTAAACTTTAACAATTCACACAATATCAATGCTAAGGACGATTTAACTGAGTTGCCCTGTCGACATTGAACATCCTGGTTATTCTTCCTGTAAATTGAGCCATGTGAACAGGGTCTAAGGCCCATATTGAGAAATAATGGAAACAGCAACACTAATGTCAGTGGAGATAATGAATAAAACAAAGAAAAGGCTGAAAGACTTTAAGATTGAGGGATTAAAACACAGCATTTTATGAATGACATCATGCCTAAAGATAGGTCTGCTTGTAGGCTAGGAAATTTGTTATAAGTTAATGATATAAACTACAAAGCTCTAGCATAGGCTATTCCAGAACCAGGCAAGGTATAAATTTTTACTTTATGAATGTTTTTTTATTAAATATACAAAGAAAGCAATTTAATATTATTTAAAAAAAATTTATTTAATGCGTTTTTCCTGAGACAAATTTGTGTAATATACAATGTGTGTATATGATTTAAAAAAATATTTTCACAAATCAAATCAAATGATGTCATAATCATGGTGATTTGATTTGTGAAATTATTTTGTTATCGTTTACATGATACATTGTTATCGAATGCTAGTGTAAATACTTATCTTTTAATTACTATATGAACAATTGCTTTTTAGCTTTTTATCGGTGATCTTTATGGTCATAGTGTAAACCGGGCTTTATATGAGCATGATAATGTCATATCACATCCAAATATGGCCATATGATGTCATATCATACACATATAAGGACAAACCACAGGTATTTTGTTGCATAAAATGTGACAGAGAGCTTAACTGCTACATTTACAAACAAAAAAAAGCAGTTTTTTTTTTTAAGTGTCAGCAACTTGGAAGCTCTCATATTATCTTTTCATTTTAAACTTCTGTCCACAATTTCAAATTTTACATAAAAAACTTGTGCGATTTGTCCATATATGGGCATGATGTCATATGACACCCATATATGGGCAAATCACGCAAATTTGTAATATAATACTTCATAGTGCGGATATAGCTTTAAGCACAACAATATCTAAACAAATATGATTATCAATTTGAATGAAAAAATAAGGCCTGCCCTCCCAAAACCAGCACATGGTTGTTGCTAATTATTAAACTGAGTAATCAGCTTATGAACGTAGCAGTATTGTATACTTTAGTACAGAGAAGCTGTAATACTTTTACTCATAACTTTGGCAATAGAAAGTCAATTCCAGTAAATGACCCATCATTTTAAAGATTATAATGTGGAGAATAATATTATTTTCTTATTTTAGTCACTGATGCAGGTTTTGACCTGGCAAACCCCATTATGGTTTACCATTCATATTTTTAAAATTAATACAAGAGATATACTTGCCACACCTGAGCAATTTCAGCTAGACAACCAATCTCACATGCAAGGAGCTGAGTAAAATTTTGGCTCACATGACACTGAGCTAAATATCTACAGCGTAAAATAAATGAGCACTAAAAATGGGGGCTCAGGAGCAACTTCTAGTGGTATAAATGAGCTAAATTCACTCGTGTGTAACAGGCATTACAAAACAAGTTAAACAATTTAAAAAATATTAAACACGCACAAAACTAATAAGCTGACAAACCAGACAAGTTTTTATAAGGTAATAATAATAAGAATAATAAAATGTGGTCATTAACTACTACCACACAGTGTAGCCATGCAAAAAAAAAAAAATTAAAAAAGCATCCATCAAAAGTACCTTGTTACTTTTATAGGTGCACCAACACCAATGGTAGTGGGGGAGGGGGGGTGGATGGGGATGCAATAGGTGGATGAAAGTGGTAGGAAGGGAGATTTATGCTTAGATGTTTATTATATTTTAAAATAAAATTTAAAAATGACAATCTACTGCGGTACTGAAAAAAATGGCACTACAAACAAATTACAGAAGTACGGAAATTATATTTTTTCCAACAACTCACGCTTTTGTCTTCTCGTTCAACCATCTGTCAGTCAAGAAAATATAGAAAAAAATATGCGGCTCGTATTAGTTGCAATCAAAATTAATATAAATTAAAACAACAAAAAAAAATTAAAAGAATATAATAATTAATATACAAAATTATTAAAATCAATCAAAAATACAAATTAAAAACAATCATATTTAACAAAATATTCTGAAAAAATTAGATAAAAATAACATAATTTCAAAATAATATTATAATCAAATAAATTCGTAAAATTGTTTAAAAATTTAGATGAAACGCTTGCAAACATGAAGATTTTCATGAGAAGACATTGCATTGCTTGAGTGGTTTGGATTTGAGAAAAAATATTGGTTTTTTACAGGATTCAAACAAAGAACCCAGGGAGCTAAATGCAGGTATTTTAGCTACAGTATTAAACTACTGCTCCACTTCAAAACCTATTTTTTTTTTTTTTTTTTTATTTCTCTCTTGCAAGTCCATTGTATGGGCCATGGTTCTTTATATATTTATATTTTACTTTAATTTCTGTATACTTATTTTTTGGCAAATTTCACTAAACTGATTTTTAAAAATAACAAAAATAGCCAATTAATGATCCCATGGTGTTGTAGGTGAATGGGAGGTATAAAAATAATTAACATAGTTATGAGATGATTTACTAATTTTCAAATTGTATCTCCCATTGAAAGAGAAGAAGAACCAACCCAAAAACAATACCCCATTCCCCCGATAGGAGTTACTGCAGTCAAAGTTAGTTGTATTGCCCTACCTTTGACAGGTCAAAGGTGAACTCCATAGTACGCCCAGGTAGGTCTTTCCGTGACCCACCGCCGTCAGTGTTCGCTCGCGATCTTCGACGACTCTCATCCTGTGCCGTTGACGGTTTCACAAGCGACGATGAACGAGACACTGCCAGCTTTAATATGTTCAGCGATTCCTTCCAATGCGGACCCTTTAAGAAAATGGTACAACAGACGTATTAGAGGCAAACAAAGTCATAGATCAAGGGTCAGCATAAATGGGTTGGAGGGTCAAAGTGAATTTTTTAATTAAACACAGAGGACTGTGGTAAACTTAAATTCATTTATTATTTCTTTACCTGAACATATTTAGCAATAACCCGTAGAAGGTCATCGTTGACCTGCTGCATAGGGGCAGACATAAGGTCAACGTTATGGATGAGCGAGTACACAATGGTCAGAACAGCTAACTGGTTGCTCATTGGTCCTTTTTCTAATACCTGCAAAAATGTATACAAATGTAATATTATGTATTAAAAATACTAATATTGCCAATTAAAAATTATTTCAATTGGTTGGAATTTACAGAATATAACCATACAGTTAAATTGCATATTGTCTCCTTGTACCAGAGGCGGGAGGGGAAAGGTGGGCGTCAACCAGGTAAACAATCCACCACAAATAAAAGCAAAAGGAAAACTATTAAAGCATATTACACAATGCCTATTCATTACGTGCTGCCTGGGGTGGACAGTTCCACCATTTTTTTAGGAAAGTTCCAAAAACAAGCTTCAATTGGTTCATCCAGGTATAATAGCTAAACAATCAATATTCACCTCAATTAAGAATGTCATCATGGAGATGCTAAACTGCGAGTAGTTGTTGTGGACGTATTTACAGACGACTCCCGTCCAGGCTTTGCTGTCCCGATTGTAAGTCTTCTCACTGTACATGGTGAGTACGGTGGATAGCGGGGCCATGTGGGTGTATCGTTCACTGCACATCTAACAAAACGAACCAAAACCAAATAAATTTCTCAACTTTGTGACGAAGATCATCGGGAATGAGCCAGACATACAAATATATATTGGTCGATTTTGGTAGTTTGCATCATTATACCTACCCTACTAATATTATTCGCAATCTCCATTGCAAATTTATCCGGTTGTTCAAAATGCTGGATGAGGTATGGCAAAACCGCAATGACATTCATTGGGAAGCCTGCAGCTTGTGTCGGGTCCACAACCTGAAGGTGGCAGTATACAGTCAATTTGGCTATCAGGTGAAGGGTCGCCTCGCTCGTACTTGCTGACGTAAATCCCTAAAGAAGGCAATTATATTTCGGCTGTTATTTATTGCAATACTTAGATACTTATTAATTCAATACAAGACAATTCGATACATTAATAAACTCATAAAAGGTAATCATCAAATATAAAATAAAAGCAAACAAAAACAATGTTAAATTAGGCCAGCATAAACTTTTTAGACATGTACCTAGCAGGAGTAAAGTGTGTTTATAAGATGCTGATGCAGCAACAGAGATGATGCAGGACAACATCCCTAGGCCTAGGCGTTGGAGAGATTGTAATGGTAATAAATGAAATAACATGAAAAAATGCAGGTAAATAATAAGATATTAAAATAAACAGATTTTCAGCATTTAATACCTTAAGAAGTAATGATTGTAGACCAGGAAAGTTTTGCCATTTTAACCGGCTCAAAACTGACTCCATTTTGGAACGGACTTCTGGGCGATCAGGAGGAAGATGTTTTAGAAGCTGAAATAATAATAAGTGATGGTTATAAAGTGCTTTACATAGGAGGTCCAACATTAGAGTGCAATGAAATGATACAAAACATTATTACAAATATACTGTTGGTTAAACACTCTGAATAAAAATCTTCATACATTTAGATTGATCAAATAATTCAAGGAGACATAGCTCAACGCCTTGAGAAAAGACTTTTGTACTTCTGCCATCCATGAAAATCATCTTCATCAAATACCTCCAACACAAACATCATATGTACACTATAGCTAGCCCAACACTAAGGGATATTTTTTTAATATGCATCCAGAGAAATGCGCAATGCTTTGAACTGCCAGTTTCAAGGTCACTTACTTTTTTTAGCTGCCAATACATTAGAAAGAGGGGATGGAATATATAAACTGTACTTACTTTATCAATGAGTTTAAGTGCGAGTGAGAACTCGTACTCATAGTCAGATTCGAGCAGAGAGACGGAGATCCAGAAGAGTTGAATGAGTAAGTTTAGTTTCTCCTCTATGCTTCCTTGTTCACCCATGGACTTGATGGAAGTGGTACTGATGGATCGAGTGAACAGGCGCCGGCCACTCCCCTCTGACGTGCTAGATGTGCGGGTTCGGTGTTCGCCGTAGCCTCGGAGCTCTATTCATTTGCATTGAATGGTGTGTAGAGATACATTGGTGTATTAAGCATTCATTGTTATGGTTACAATAATTGAATAAAGACATTTTACAACTATTATTGTTAATTATAATAGTAATAGTGGTGATTATTATTATAAGATATATGCAATAATAATAATAGTAACAACCAATAGTAATAATAACATATAAACAATAATAATTGTTTTTGATCACAAAAAAAAAAATCTGTCACTTTTCCGGAATTGAACCCACAACCATGGGATTAGAAGGCAAGCATTTTAACCACCTATCTAGCTCAATACCACCATCATTATGATGACATAGAAAAAAATGATGGTGCTGGTGGTGATGTCAATGATGATGTTGGGTTGATATTAATATGATACGGCCAAAAAAAAAATGGTTGTATTGCCCATGTAGACATTTGAAATACTGGGTCATTCGATCATGTCTATATAACTTTATTTAGGCACGCACATGCGCCCAGATTGTTAATAGTAAATATATCACTGTCCTACTTTTAGGTGACAATATCTTTCACAAGATAAACATACCGACACGATGCTTTACACACACTTTGGCTTCATTATCAGGCTTTAGGGAGTGAAGTTTCTTTGGTCGTTAGAAAAAAATTCTGTAACACTAACAGGAATTGATTCAAGGACCCTAGGATGGAAGGCAAGCATCTCAGCCACAAAACTATTCAATTCCATACCCTTTGTCACTAAATTTCTAGATCCACCACTGGTATGGTCTTTCCAAGTATGTCTTTCCATGTTTGTTCGAAATAGTTGAGTTTTATGAAATATTGTCTAATAATGAATCCAATTATTGATGTATATTCTTATACAGTACATGCATCTACAAGTATTCTAGTTTTAAGAATAATAATCCATGCTTAAATGAGGCATGTTGTGGTAAAATGGCTAAGTTGTCACTCAGGCATGTATTGAGTAAATGGGCTATAAAATATGGGAGCTCAAAAAATGGCATAAAATTTTTTTTTTAACAATAAATCAGCAGTATATACTGGTATTAGGTATTAAAATACAAAATTAATCATATTTCAAAACCTTACTTCTAGAAACAGTCTACAAATCACATATCTCAAGACCTTTTTGGTTGTAATGTTAATTCCATTAAAAAAAATGTATACATAAATGAATTTGGAAGACTATTACTTAAAATCATATTTATCTTGACTGCTTGAGAGCTGTACTGCACTGTACTCATTAACTAAGGCTAGAAATGTTCAATTTCAATAATTGACGGATCTCGAAATATCAAAAACTTGAATTTCAATTTTTGCTACAACTGCCATTTTGCCTCAAATGATTCATACAGACTAGCATTACCATGGCAACCATTTTATACCCTGGTGTGGTTATTTAATGAAATGATTCAAGCGGAAATTATTCATACATACTTCAAAATAAATAATAATGATTCATAAACAAACATAATTCTAAACTGATAGAAATCATAATAGAAAGGCGATATATAGAAACTATAAAAAATAATTAAATATAATGATGAAGATGTTTATATAAGGGACCTTTCTGGCAGGTCAACCAAAAAAAAAGTGCTAATCATATGCATATGTCCGCTAAGCTCCTTGGATTATTAACAACATCCAAGGGGCTTAGCGGAAAGGACCATTATTATAATGATGGTGATGGTGGTGATGAGGATAATGGTGAAGATGATGATGTTCATGATGATTATTAAATTGATAATGATGATGATAATAATGTTGAAGATGTTGTCAATAAAGATAATGATGGTGATGACAATGTTGGAGATACTGATTAAAATAATGATGATGTTGTTTAATTACAATATTATAATAATGATAAGACTGATGCATGACAATGATAATGATGGTTTATGTTGATTGGTCATCATGACATAATGATATTGATAATGACAATGATGATGGTGATGATTCTGACATGGATTTAATATTGATGATGCAAATGATGATGATAGATCTGGTGGTCAAACTAATTACAACAAAAATCATATAAACATAAATATAACAAAAAATATAAATGTAAATAATAAAAAATGTAGAAATAAGTATATAATTTGATGATGTAAGTAAACTGTACATGATAAAGGCACAGGTGATACAATCAGAGGCTAATATATAAGTTCAATTTGAAACTTTGGACACACAAATATGCAATGAAATTTTTGCTTGCACAGACTACTTTCACTCAGGAAGATTTGACCGATTTGCACTCTTTGCATCAGACTTTTAAAATAGGGAGTTTCCACCCGAGGACAATTTTGCTCAGTTAAAGTGGAAAATTAAGCAAGCTGTTTGCACAGGAAAGGGCTTTTAGCATACCACACCCCTTTACAGGTAGAGAAAATGGACATATTTCATGGATGGATGAATTTATTTGGTGTAAACACTAAGGATAATTATTTCCAGTGGGGTCCTTCTGGTGATCATGATTGGGCAGTACATCAGGAGGCAATCCTTTACTCTTTCCGAAAAGTGTACTGCATTCTGTAACATGCACAGGGCCATAAATGCACACGGGACCAATGGCTTAAACGTCTCATCCAAAAGATGGTACGCTATCGTAACTAGCATTTCAGCCCTCCGGTTGAAATACAATGACAGCAGTGATGGGAATTGAACTGGTGACCAAGACTTCTCCATGGTTCAGCGCACACACATTTTGGCTACCACCAGTTTAGCCAACTGAGCTAAGCTGCTCTCATAGAGGATTGAGCTAAGCTGCTGTCATAACCAACTGAGCTAAGCTGCTCTTATGACTGATTGTACGACCTTTGACCTGTTCATAAATTAGTTGATGGCGTGTGAGTCGGGATTAGTACCTGTCTTGCCATTAGTAACTTGCGTAGCATTCTCAGTGATCTTGACAGCCATGTTGCTTGCATGCCGTTTACTTGAATCGTACATACCACTACCGCTACCGTGCAAGTTGCCGGTACTCTTGCGCATGTCTGATGACTTCCTGGAGCTGTACACTGTGCCGCTCTTCGATCGGTCACGTATGTCGGGAAGCATGATCTCATACGCCAAAGGCTCGATCATAGCCTCAAGCGTCAGTAAGATTTCTGTAACATATCCCTGCCAGAAGGTACAAAAACCATGAATTATATATATATATCTTGAAAATAATCACTTTAAAAAAGTCGATCATCCTGTTATCTCATCTAATATTGGCCTTTTTGGCCTAGGTCAAGGTCCTGCTTCCCAAACAACAAGTAGGGGATTGTCTCCTAGTGTACTGACAACGGAAGGCACTGTCCTGTGGTGGCCGTGGGTCCTTAAAAGCAAAATTTTACTTCAACAAAGACCATACATAATATGTATTTACATTTACCTTTACATACTCAAAAATAAATTAAGGGAATTTTCAATTCCTACCTGGTTCTCTTCGGCTTGGTCAGCTACAGTGTCTACCAGTCTACGGAGGATGTCGGACATCATCCTGGCATTCAATGAAGGACTAAGGGCTCTCACCATCTGATATTAACAAAACCATTTATATTAAGACTATTAAATATAAACATTGTAGTGTATATAAAAAAAAAATAATACGCAATTTCCTTTGTAAATACTAGGTGAACAATAAAAATAGAAATTATGTGTTTCTCTAACATAATTTTCCTGTTTAAAATATTACTTTATTATTATATTTTTAATTATTAATATTACTAGAATTATTATTATTATTTTATTATTATTAATGTGTATAAATATTATTGTATTTAATATTTTTAATCGCAAAATAAAAACAAAATAATACAAGAATAAGACTGTATTATTGATGTTATTGTATTTTCATATTTTGTATTTTGTGATGAAAAACGTACCTGGAAAGATCTTCCAGCATAATGACGTATTGGGCAAACCAAGGCCAACTGAAGCGCCACCTGGGACCAGCGTTGCTCCAGGTGTGTTGTTTTCAGGCTGCTCTTGAATATCTTAACAACATGCCGCAGAAACACTTCAATTTGTTCAGCACTCTTGATGGATACCACCCTTGGTGTTATCACTTCTGAACACCACATAGGCCGACATTTCCTATTGGTAATTGGATAAAAAATCAATAAAAATAATCCAATCAAAGTAAGTCTTATGAACAGCTTGAATATCTTAAAAAAATGCTGCCAAAAACTTAAAATTGTTCAGCACTCTTACTGGATATCACTCTTGGTGTTATCACTTGTGAACACCACATAAGCCAACATTTCCTATTGATAATTGGATACACAATCATAAAAAATGATTAGCCAAACGAGTTAAGTCTTAAAACAGCTGAAAAAAAAATAAAACATAATACACATAGAAGGGGCAAACCCAGAGATGTCCGAAAGGGAGGGGGGGGCCCAAAGGGAGGCCGATTGCGATAATACTACGCTAAGGATATTTTAGTTTTCTAGACACCCGAAAATAACCTCTGAGGCATTTTGGGCGGTCAATTATTTCTTTTTTTCTTTTTTTTTGACTTTCCAAACGGGGAGGAGGATCGGCCCGGCCCCCAACTAAATCCACCCTGCATAGGCCGACGTTTCCTATTGGTAATTGGATACACAATCATGCAAAATTATCCAATCAATTATGTCTTACAACAGACTGTAAAACTAATTACCTGGTCACCAAAAACTCAATGAGAGCCTTGGCACTTTCATCTACACCTCTGAGATAATCAACGTTCTTATGAATTGTGCGCAATGGTGACGCAGCGATTACTGTCCCGGAACTTCCAGTACTAGATGTTGATTGGCCTCCAAGCGTCGTCGTTGAACCCATCATGCTGCCCTCAACTACGTCAGTCATAAAGGCCTCAGCTGGGTGAGTACTGGTTGGGCTAACGGAGCCTAGGAGAAAACAGAGTATATTAATTCATTTTAAAATCTTACCACTTCTTTATAAGTTGTACATTGATGAAGGTGTTGGCAAATTTTAAGAATTAATATCTGGAGTACCTGTAAACAAGCATCCCTGTTCACCTGTAAAAATTAACATCTTAGCCACCTGTTAAATTACGATCTGGACACCTGTAAAAGAAAACATCTGTCTACTTGTAAAATTTAACATCTTGGTCACCTGTAAAATCATGATCTGTCTACCTGTAAAAACTAACATCGTGGCCACCTGCAAAAATAATATCTTGGCCACCCTTAAAATTGTGATCTGGGCCACCTGTAAAATAAACATATTAGGCATCTGTAAAATTAAGGTCGGGCTACTGTAAAAATTAAAATCTTACCCACCTGTGAAATCATATTCTTTTGCTTGTGGCATCTGTTCCACCAGAGTTGACATCTCGCCCATGGTATCATGTGACAGAAGAGTCTGTGCAATGAACACATAGTCATTGTGGGTGGACAGGACAATTAGAAGATTAAGCAGTAAACGTTTGCTGTGTTCGTGCACTAGAGGGCGGCTGTGATCCAAACCGAGGAAGACAACGTGAAGGATGTTGGGGAGGTGGATGGCCCAATCGATGTCAAGTCTTTCCGTGACAAGGTCAGCCATTAATACTACTGCAAGGTTGCATCTACGAGGGAAACAAAAACTTATGAAGATTTGCGTATAAGCTACTGCCTTTGTCTCTACAACAAGCAAGTTGTGCAATCTAAATTATTTTTCTTAGGTCATGATATTGATAAATAATTATCAATTATTTTTTTTATTTGTTTGTTTTTTGTTAAATTTTTTTATCTATTTTTTTATTTATTTTTTTTTTATTTATTTATTTTATTTATTTATTTTTTTGTTTTTATTTATTTATTATTTTAGAATAATGCTTTTTGAATCATGTTGGTAATGCTGATAATGACTTGAGCAACACTGATTTTAATTGCATAAATGAGAATGAGAGAAATGTTTGTCTCTAAAGGATTTGAATGTCATATGATACACTTTAAAAGGACTGCCTGGGATAATTGCTCAGATATGAAAAAAATATTTATCTAATTAAATATTCAAGTATTAAATCAAATAAATCATTGATAAATAATTCAATCAATTATACAGAAGTTCACAAGAGAATTACATTAACAGCAAATGTTAACTTAGTTTTACATGAATATGATTTTTGTATTTTTACTCGCGAGAAATATTAGTGAAAAAAATTGTAAGATTAGGAGTTTACCGGTGAAGAACAGCACTATGCGGTGGCTCATTATCATCAATGTCCTCGTACAGCGGCGCGCAGTGTAGTTCATCAGGTGTTGGTAATGGCAATGGCGCGTAATCACGCGATTTGTATAAAGCCCGCCACTGCGAAAACAGTGCTTTGGGTGTTGAGTTGTGTATTGATAAAAGTGACTGCTCTTCCTCTTTTTCTTCAACGATTCTTGAGACAAGCTTACTGTTTCTATCGCCCGAATCACTACTTTGGTTGGAATTACCGCTGGCTAGTGTACCAAGGCTGCTGCAGCTACTGTGTCGTAGGGTACTGTCAGATTTTGCGAAGCTGTAGAAAACAGTTGATACAGTAAATACAAATATTAGAACATTAAAAAAAAGGAAAGCTTTTAAATGAACTTGGCTCCCTGAAGAATCTATTGCTCAAAATACTGTATTATAAGTAATTAATGCAAGATAGCAACTGGCGACAATAATTAACAAGTTAAAAAAAGTTGCACCAAGTGGGATTCGAACTTGGAACCTTCTGCTGTCTATGCAAACTTGGCCACTTGGGTTATGTTCAGAATTAAAATCAAATTAGAAGCAACTAAAACACTCTTGCGCATGTGTGAATCAATGTTTAGTTCACAATGCATTGCAAACAAGAGATAAATATGATACACCCTCAAATTAAGTATTTTAAACAACAAGACGGGATCTCCGTAAGGGAACTTTCAATAAACATTAATGATTAGTATTTATTCCTATAAATCTGTGTCATAGTGTACCTGTCCGTTCGCTCTCTTGTTCCAGGATCACTCGGGACTTTAGGTATGGTCTTGAAAGCCCCAGAGAACAACACCCCATCCGGATTCTTCTCCAGTAGTGACTTCTCCATCCCACCAATCTCTCCAGATGTGTCCTCGTCTTTATCCATCTTGTCCATGAGTGACACCATACTGCCAATCTCCTGATCTGCATTGCAAAGCTTCCCCGAATTGAAGGGCCTGAAGTAGGGAGGTACAGTGATACGTTCAACATGCGTATTGATGGGATCCCAGCTTAGCAATTCCCTCAAAAGTTCTTTTACCAGACTCTGAGACTTTGCTCCAGCAATGAAGGAAAGAACCATCTTCACCTGGAGATTGGAAAAAGGCAATACAACACACTCATTAAAGGCATCTGACACAAACAAAAATATCAAAATGGTTCAACAATTGTGGTGCATGCTTTACTATCTCTGGGTCTTGGGTTCAAATCCAGAGTTGATTCCATAAGGCAAATCCCTTAGTATTAGATTAGAATTTGAGCTTTTTAAGCCAGATGGAAAAAATATTGAGATATTGTACAACTATTAAATTCTAAGATATTCAAAAGGTGTTTGAAGAAATAATAGAGAATGATTAAATAGATATATGAATTTTTTGACGATCAACTGAGGAAGCTGGGGTATTCAGTAGTAATATATATATATAATATTAGCCATTTTGATTATTCTTCAAACCAATTTCAATTTCATCAATTTCTTTCAATATTTATGATATCAAACATCATTCCCAATCAAGAGCCTGGCTTTAAATGTATGGATTGATGAAAGTACAGATAGATGAATAAACGGAAAGATGGAAGAAAGGAGGGACGCATGAACTGGGGGATAGACATACAGATGGATAGAAAGAGTAAATTTAGTCTTACATATGGCAGGAGGTCAGGATTGGTAGCTATGCCGGACAACAAAAACAAGTAATCAAGAATAATGCAAAGGTTGCCAGGCCAACACTTGCAAAGTCCTGCCCATAATTGCTGCAACTCACGAGTATGCTCCTCACCATACTAAAAAACAAATATATGAAAAAAAACCCGGTTAAAATCAAACTATGTTTACATTACAATGGAGATAACAGTAATGAATATGTAAAATCAGTGGCGGCGCCAAACTTTCCCCGACAAGGAGACTGTCAGACAGAGTGCCCGACGGGCAGGGACCAGCATTTTTTTAATTGAGTCGCGTCCGGGATTCCCTCTGCACTTTCGATGGTGGAACCACTGTACGTTACTTAATACCAAATATCATACCTCGGCTGTTATGAAAAACATATTGTTCAAAACAATGTTTGTCGCCCTCTCTGATCCCCATCCATTGCCTTTAAGCGGACATTCATTTTCATCGTCCCAATCAGCATCTTCCTCTTTGTTGGCGTTGCGGCTACTACCGTGTGCAGCTGAGCTCTCGACTAGTTCAATGTTGTACAGCCAAGGTAGGAGTACTTCTAAGATGTTTTGGCGAATGTTGAGGAGTGCTGAATCAAATCTTTCAGTTAGTTCTGTGAAAAAGGTATATTTGAATACGGTATACATGAATTTATTTTAAGTTTTATACTTGTTAAGTAATAAGTTGAGTAACCTTGTACAAAGGCTTAGATAGTAAGCCATCCAGAGGCAAATCTAGTAGGGGGCATGTATTGAAATTAGAGCTAATTAGCGCTACTCACTTATCTACTCTGAATATGTTGTGCCACCCCGCCCCCCGATTTGTTAAAACCTATTTAGATAGATACCATTATAGTTATTATAGCTAGTTAAATATAGAAATAAATTACTTACACAAAAAAATATTTAAATATTTTTTAACTTTGAAAATAAGAGTAGTCACCTGAAAAGATTGCGAGTGTCAGTTCCGGATGAAGTTTGGCCAATTCCTGACTAAGCAGAATGTGCGATTTTCCGTAGGTAGCTTGCAACAACTCATCTGGGAAAAATCGCATATGGAGCACCTGCATCAGGTTAAGGGCTGTGTTCCTCGTTGTGCGGCAGGCATCGGCTGCCTTCAGTAGGATAACGCACAGCGTAGGGAGGGGCATGTATTGAAATTAGAGCTAATTAGCGCTACTCACTTATCTACTCTGAATATGTTGTGCCACCCCGCCCCCCGATTTGTTAAAACATATTTAGATAGATACCATTATAGTTATTATAGCTAGTTAAATATAGAAATAAATTACTTACACAAAAAAAAATTTAAATATTTTTTAACTTTAAAAATAAGAGTAGTCACCTGAAAAGATTGCGAGTGTCAGTTCCGGATGAAGTTTGGCCAATTCCTGACTAAGCAGAATGTGCGATTTTCCGTAGGTAGCTTGCAACAACTCATCTGGGAAAAATCGCATATGGAGCACCTGCATCAGGTTAAGGGCCGTGTTCCTCGTTGTGCGGCAGGCATCGGCTGCCTTCAGTAGGATAACGCACAGCGTAGGGATCAGGTCACATGGGTACGTTTCCCTGATGGAGATGGATTTTTAAATATGGTAACTAGCTTTGCCAACTACTTCTACAGAAGCGTCTAGCATATTTGGTAAATTATATTCAAATCCATTTGTAGAATGAAAATGATGCTTACTGCATAAATATCACAATTAATAACAAAATTAATATCACAATAAACAATATCACTATATATTTATTATATGTTAAATGCATAATTAATCATAACGAATATGCATATTAAAACTATATGAAAATTCATAGGTTAAAAAAAATGTTGTCTTGTAATTAATTCATATCTTAAGTTAATTGGAGGAGTGATGTTTTGCCCTACCTGACGTGTTCCCAAATATTTGAGAAAAAAAAGTGATTCAGGTGTAAATCGAACCTATGACCTCCAGATATCTAGCCTGGTATCCTAACCACTAGACCACTAAGCTTGCACTTAACTGATCCCCAAAGTAGCAGTGGGTATTGTAATGTTATTTCCATGTTGTTTCGGTCAGGAAAACAAATTCTTAATTTTTTGGAATCTCACCTGCTGTTCAGGATGGCGGCCATTGCTTGGAAGCATCCATCAGCCACCTGCTTGTGACTGGTGTAACAACGGTCAATGGTCCAGGTCAGGAGCATGGACAGTTTAGGGTTGTTCTCAAGAAGTAATATTGCGGTCTCCTTCCCTAACTGATGAACCTAAGAAAAAAGGAGAGGGATGGATTAGTAGGCTGGTTATAATACTTGTTCTGGCAATCCTTTACTTTAGGGGGCATATATTATTTCATACATTTTTCATATATTTTTAATTCCTACAAAAAATGACATGAATAATTTCCCAGCAGTGCCAAGGAGAGGAATTTACCCACCTGGATTGGGGAATTGTGTGACTGGGTATTTTGAATTCCAAGGCAGGAAAGAGGACAGCACAGCAGAGAAGAGAAATTTCGCCAAAAGATGTGGAATTTTCAAGCAGGAGTAAAGTTTTCCAGAGGGTCCAATGGGTAATTCCTCCCAGAGAGTGGAACTGCTTATCATTACAAGTGTTAACTTGAATTTGAGTAACTTACCCGTTCATCTGGACAATCGAGGAGGTTATCCAACCAGCTATACAAGTAGCCTTCTTGATACAAAGCATTTTGATCAAAGACTTCACCACAAACCAACAATGCTGACATAGCCTAACAGGCAAAACAAATTTACACTATGTAAAATCATTCATTGGTAGTATGATTTAAAATATATATATGTAATTTAAAATCATATCAATACCTGGTAGTATGCATACAGTACATGGCAACACTTGATCATATGCATATATGGCAAGACGTGGTAATCATATGCATATATACAACACCAAAAGATCATATGCATATATAGCAACACCCAATGATCATATGCATATATAGTAACACTCAATGATGATATGCATATATGGCAACACCCAATGATCATATGGATATATCGCAACACCTGATGATCATGTGCATATAAGGCTGACTGTTATAAGGCAACACTTAATGATCATATGCATACATGGCAACACTTTTATCATATCTATATAAGGCAACACCTAATGATCATATGCATACATGGCAACACCTGGTAATCATATGCATATATGGCAACACCTGTAAATATATTTACCTGCAATGACTCCATCTCCAAGTGACTCATTTGTTCATCCTTGTAGACAGGATTGCGATCAACCGCGCCATACGTGACCCCAAGCTTTCGGCACCAAGAACCACACAGGAAGAATATACTGTACTTTGCCTCCTTGCGTAACAAATTAGCACGATTTTCAACTGAAATTGAACACAATGGATTTTTTTATTACCAACAATATTCTTGTCACTACTGTAATGGTGATGGAGATAAAAGATTGACAATTAGAAATGTTAATGAAATTATAATGAATTAAAAGCACAGACTTGAACTGTCTACAAAAACAAGTTTTTTGAAGAAAAAACTTTTATAATGCTAATGTTTTTTAAGGCATAATTTCTAGCAATTATAAACTTATGCATTAAATTTTTACTAATGCATAAAATAATTGTTTTATTCAGTCATGTATTAATTCTTCTTTATTTATTCTTTCTGTTCTTCCTTTTTAATAAATTTATTTATTTATCCTTCATTTTATTATTAATTAATACATTTATTTATTACTTCATTCATTTATTTGTGTAATATTACTGTATATAATTAGATCTTCCCATACCTGGCATGCTCCTAATAAGTTTATGGATGAATCCACTGAAGTGAAGTCTGATCTCTTGTAGGGTGGGGGAATCCTTGTCCCCCTCACTCTCCAGAAACAGTCGCATCCCGTCGATGTACTCCACAAAGATGGAGTTTAATGACTGCGAATCCTTATTCATACCCCTCACAAAACTGTATAAGATTTGAATAATTACAAAATAATATAATATTTGTAAACACATATTGCTTTTTTATTCTTAGTTGGCAAAATATCAAAATGGTACTCCGATGGTTACCATATTTAAGTCCATGTTTTCTTTGTTCTGCTTACTTAACTTTTAACAAATATACAATGTTCTAATTTAGCATACCTTTCCTTGAAGACCCCATGTTCTGCGAGAAGCTCCAATACACGGATGAGGTGCACACGCAAAAAGTCACGCCTTCTCCTCCGACGCATGTTCTACAAAAAGTAGGTACATAAAGTAATCAGTGGCATATTTCATTTCATTTCATTTATTTCGTCCAAAAAACATTAAAATTGACAAAAACAAGAAAACAGACAGCAAAAAAACAACACTCAGTTGGCCGGACAGGATTGCCAAAAAGTGAACTGAATTACTGTCTAGTGGCTCTCCGATGCCAATGAATGGTGAAATCTGATGGTGTATTAGGGTAAAGTTGGACCTCAATGATTAAGTGACGGGGAATTAGGTGGAAAAAAAGTTGGGAAAAAAGGTGAAATGAGGCATGCCGTGGCGTAATGGTTAAATTGTCGCACAGGCCAGTATTGAGTAAATGAGCTATAAAATATGGGAGCTCAAAAAATTGCCTAAAAATCCAAATTTGCATTTCACTATAACTCAACAGTTTAATGTCTTATTAATCATGTACCAAAGTATTAGTTCTGGTCAACAAATTGTTTATTTAACGTTATTTTGATAGTTCATTCTATTAAACAATGTATGCACAAATAACTTTGATAGGCAATTACTCAAAATCCTGTTTATCTTGATTCTAATAGTACTGTACTTTCACTTTCAAATAACTTAGGCTTGAAATGTCCAATTTCAATGAATGACCCCTCATTTTAAAGATCACATACTCAGGTATCTGAAAATACCAATAACTTGAATTTCAATTTTTGCTACAACTTAGGCGTTTTGCACCAACATGCCTCAAATTATATTTTCTTTTTAACTAATTCTGCATAATTTATTTGCTTGGCGAATTTCCAGTAAAAGCGAAGGGTGGGGGGAGCATTTGAGGAGGCACAAGCTTTTTGGAGAGCCCTCAAACCCCCATAGGTGCACCACTGCCAATGTCATTGTATTCTATGTATTCATATTAAGGTGAACACAACCTATCTATTTTCTTACCTCTTGTTTCCGTTCAATAGCGTCTCTGATTAACGGCTGCAATTCATCCATCAAATCCCTTTGTAAGATAAACAAAATATTCATTACTTAACTTAATGCTCTATTTGCCTATATAAAAATATGACATCATCCTATCCATATATGGAAGTGCCATGACATCAACATGCCCATATATGGGTAATTTATACACATTAATTGTCACATACAATTTAATGGTGTGGTTAGAGCAATGTATAACTAAAGGATTTTCAATACCTGAAAGCATAAGCATTTGTCCATCCTAGGCCTGTGACAACAGCTTCGCGGATATCCGTGTTCTCACACCGTAGTAATGGCACAAGGTATTTATTGAAGAGCGTACTGGCAGAGTTGCTGCCAATCATTGTTGCCATCCTAAGGTCCTGACGATCAGCTGGAGCTAAATTGTCTGGTGGTGAGTACCTACGAGACCAACGTAAAAGTGTTAGCAATAGCAATGGCGATAATATGCGTTCACAGTACTACTATTAAAAACAATGCAAGACTCACTACCATGTGGACATCAGAAAGCAGAAGAAAATGAAGACTATGAAAAAAAAAGAAGGAATAAAGAAAGGAAGAAGCAGTGGCCAAAAAGAAAGAAGTACTGCAGAAAGACATTAAAATACTTTCTTTCATTTTAAATTTATTTCATTTGCACCCAATGGATAATGATTTATAAAACAAGTCTCTATACGAGGCTTAGAGAGTATTTTTTTCAGTCATGAGACAAAATTTACATGAATTGAACCCAGAATCATGGTATTAGAAGGCGAGCACCATACCCACTAAGCTATTCCACTTGACAACATATACTGTCATACATTTTCATATTTTAGACAATCCAGAAACAGATGTTATACCCTGTTGGTTCTGGTGAGAGGCATCGTCTTGGCGTTTGGTAGCCCGTACTTGGTGGGGCACAGCTACAAGCGAAGACGAGGTAGTTCCTCCAAAGAGCTAGGTTGCCATCCATCATTGTAATGGTCTTCTTTGCTCGAATCGATATACGGCTATCGGATGGTGCACTGATAACGATTTAAAAACATAATGGAGTTAAACAATGGAGTCATTTGTGCATGTGTAATTTAAACTTAAATGCATTTCATATCATTATATATCATTATCATTTTTCTTCATGAGCTTTGGTCACGATGACTAACGGTTATCACAGTAATCAGGGAGATGTGATCATGATTCATGGTGATCACAGTGATCTGGGAGCTGTGATCGCGACGACTCACGGTGATCACAGTGATCTGGGAGTTGTAATCATGATGATTCACAGTGATCACAGTGATCTGGGAGTTGGGATCATGATTCATGGTGATCACAGTGATCTGGGAGTTGTGATCACGATTCATGATAATCACAGTGATCAGAAGAGTATTGCATATTCATGAGAAAAATAATATATGAACAATAAAATGGTACTGCGGGGTTTATTTTCCCTTTGTATTTATATTGTATGTAGTTTAGTTGATGATGTTTAACTATAGATGTAAACTGTGAAATAAAGAGAAATGAAATTTTTAAAAAAGTATTCACCTTGCATCAATATTGGAATACAGTTGACTTAATCTATGGTAAACAAATGGCCAAGCATTGTAGACAGCCGTAGGACAGAAATGGGGCAAGAAATCACTAGCAAAGAAGCTGGCTAGACACATGATCCATGGGTTGAAGCCACCCATACCGTATGAAGCTAGGGCTTTGTTCAAGCTATCGTTGGGTGTCGTCTCATACGAGCTACCAGACCAGGTGTTAATGGAACGCTCAACAAGCCAGTGTAGGTCGATGCTTGGGGTCGCTATAACAGCTGCCTAGAGAGATATATGAAAAGAAACATTTGAAACTGTTTAGAAAAGCAATTGGAATGTTATGCCCAAAGAATGTAAATAGAGACAAGTGCACATTACATTAATGAAACTGGTATGAAAAGCATTGTTATAGAAGATAGGCTAAAAGTTCAGTAATTTTCATTTGTTAAAAACCCAAGATACCTACTCTTTCTGCTGGTGGTAGCTGATTCAGAAAGCTCTCAACAATTGTGGCACATGCTCTGTCTATGATGTCAATCACAGCATCATCATCCACCTGGACAAGCACAAAAAAAACAAAAATAAATAAAATTTGCATAATGTCAAAGTCAATAATAGTAAACAAAGCAGATGAAATGTATGAATGTGCACAATAGTGTATACTTATGCATGATTAAATATGAATACATTTGAATAAATTTAAACACCAACATAATTAAATATGATTAAGTTGGAAAGAATTTGATACAATATTAATAAATTATAGTCAACATCAATGACTTTAATTAACATCAGTGATTTTGAAAAAAATACATATATAAAGGAAGACATATGTGGCAAAGACAAGCCAAACCAGTCACTTGTCACAAAAATCGATTTTGAGTTATTAATACAGTGTTAGAGAGTAAAATAATAGCTATAAAATGGTAAAAAAATCATTCAAATCGGACATCTCCTTATGAAGTTACAAGCATTTAACCACACAGCTGTTTAAAGAACAATATATGAGAAGGAATTTGACATTCCAGCATGTTTTGGCCATTTTCTTTGAAACACGATTTGCGACGAGTGACTGGTTTGGCTTGTCTTTGCCACACATACTCTGATTTGATGTGGGTGTTTATCATCTGATGATCTTTACATGCAAATTCAGATAAAAAAAAATTTCAAATAAAATCTAATCTTACCCTAGAATAACCAAGAATACCAAAGAGCATTCTGACTTCCTTCAGGAGAACTACCGCAAGACGTCTTGTGATTGGTCGACAGCTGCAAAGGAACACCAATGAGAACCCTTCTACCATGTTGAGAGTGTTCGCAAAGGGGTTACGCTCATAAGGTGCCCTGGACAATGTCTGCTGCACAAAGAAAAACAATTTGGAATAATTTTATAATAATCATAATAATTAACATAATCTGCAATTAAAGAAACAATATACAAATTGCTTATCTTTATATGGTCAACGTAGGTGGCGTGTTATTACTGTCACAGACTAACAGTCATGACAACATAGAAAAACATATCTTTATAATTATGATATATAAATTAATCTCAATAAAATGTATTAAAACCTTTCGTTCAACGAAAAATCTTTTTAAACAGTTAGTAAAAAATTGCTGGGTTTTAGCAATATATCTGAAAGTTTCATCACACTGATCTCTAATGCTATAGCATAATTAACTAAACAATGAACAAAAAAAAAATCAAATTTTCATGAATAACGCAGCGCAACGAGGCATGCGTAAGGAATCATTTTTAATGGTGTTCAGCAGACAGCAAGGCACCATCAAATGCTCACAGACAGTGGAGATGGACTCATTGGCCAACAGTCGTACAACTCAATGTGTGCACGGCTTTAGTTATTATTTAGTAATTAAAATAAAATAATATTAAAATACTTCAATACTTGTAAGTGTCAATAAAAATAAAATAAATAAATAAAATGAATATTAGAATATAACCTTTTCCTCTTTGCCGAGTTCCGACGTCCTCCACTGGGACAGCAGCTGTACCAGCATCTTGAGGGAGTTCTCCAGTATCAGCGGGAACGTATCGTGGACCTCAGTAAGGACGAAGTGGACGAAATAATGCATGATCTCCTCCCGCCATTCCACCAGATCCATCATCATGTTCTGAAGAGCGGTAAATGCTAGCCTGTAGAGGAAGTAGTAAGAATTATGGGTAATCACATACAGTACATTACACTATGAGGTAGCAGGACAAAGGAAACAGCTTATAAACAACACTATTCCCCTAGTTTTCAAATATTCCAAATCTGTATCTTATTACCCATTTGCAATTACTTCTTTAAACACCTCATTCTACAATTCATTTGTAGAACATATCTGGCTTTGAAAGCTTCCATAGCTGATACTTCCTTTATAAATATAGAAACTTTAGTTCCATAAAAGTTAGAGAAAAAAAATAACCACCAGTCATATTCATTGGATCTGAGCACATGTTAAAGGAAGATTCATTTCAAATATGCATTACCAAAATATAATTGAACATTGTTTTCTTTTTGCTCTTTGAAAAAATTAACACACTTTATCTGCAGAGTAAATAGTACAGTACAACCTCTATTTAGGGGACATTTTCTTAACAAGTGTGTAGCATGAACAGGGTTGAGCATAGTGTTAAAAAGAAAAAGTCCCCTTGTTAGGAGTGCCTCGCATGAAGGGGTTCTAAGCTATTATAAATCATTTTCTTTTTGTCTGTATAAAAGACTTACACACTTCTATTACACAATAGTACAGTAACCCCTATTTAGGGGACATGTTCAGGGCCACAACATTTTCCGCTTTTGTGTGCTATGAATAGGGGTTGAGCGTAGTGATTAAAAAAAGAGTCACCTTATTTAGGGATGACCCAAAGTGGTTCGACTGCATTGTAAATTGAAGACTCTATACTTACCCTCGAAGTTCTTCATCACGATGCACGGTCAACCGTGAGAGTAACTCTAGCAGTGCCGTACGGCTTAGTCCCTCGGGAATTAGTCGCGGAATGGCCGCTACACACGTACGAAAAAGCTCAATTTTCAGTTTACGTTCACCTCTAAAAAAGTTTTAAAAATCAGCATGAGATAATGATAGATAGAAATGGTTAATATTATTTTTATTATTATTTAATTAAAATTATATTGGATTAAAAAATCCACAAAGTTTTAACCTTGATTATGTGTTTCAAAATATTTATTTAAAAAAACACGCGTATGAAAAAGCTCAATTTTCAGTTTACGCTAAGCAGTTAAAAAAAATGTCAGCATGAGATCTTTGAATAAAGTACAGATTATTATAGATAGAAATGGTTAATATTATTTTTAATTAATATTTAATTAAAATTATATAGGATTAAAAAATCAACAAAGGTTTAATTGATTATTAATAGTGTTTCAAAATATTTATTTAAAAAAAAAATGATATGCTTACGTCATCACATCATCAGATTCCTTGTTCACACATTGCACATTAGTCATTAATAGAGGGCGCCCTACTTCACGGTCCAGCATCTGTAAAATTCCGTTGAGCGCTTTACAGACAACCGGGTAGTATGTTATCATTCCAATAGATTTGGCTGCTTCTTCTGTAAGCTGTTTACTAAGAAATGTTTTCTTTACACGTAGTGTGTTTCCAGATGGCATCACACTTGTCGTAGCAGGCATTGGGGGAGTGCCATCCTTCTGTTGACGGCTGTCTGCTATTACGAGAAATGCCCTCAAGCCGATGTTCATTCTCTATAAATGACGGAAAATAATGGTAAAATTAGGAGGTAGCTTGCTGCTCATCTTCCAAAGGCTTGATAATATTTCACATAAACATTAGGTGGCTAGTTCTAAGAAAACAATTTATGTGTATGGTTTTCTTATATATCCAGAAATTGTCACATAACTAATGCTTAATTAGAATCCGTCTAGTAAAAAAATTATAATATATTACACTGCATTTTAATTTATATTTTTCAATAAACAGAATTTTGTATTCAAGTTTTTGATTTGAGTAGTTTGAACTGCGCATGCCCATATTAAGGTCAATCGACATAAACAAACATACACACAACATAGGTTTACGTTGATTGACCTTACGGCATGCACAGTTGAAACTAAGAAGTGGCTTATAGATTCTTTATTCCTTTACCTCTGGACAGAGGACTCTTGACTTTGGTGCACTACCACCACTGCCAACACCGACCAGGTCAAAGATCACATCCCGTACGGCAAAGTCCAGCTTTTCTTGCGAGATGAACTGTATGATCTTGACAAAGATGAAAAGAGGCGTGTCTCGTGGAACAACATTACGAGATCCCCTGGGAAACAAGCTGTTGACGATGCTCTGCAGACGGATGTTTGTCGTGTTGTTGCTCTCGCATTTGATGCGTACCATGTAAACCCAGAGCAGGCGGTACAGTGACTCAAGTGCAACGCGGGACATCTTAGCCTCCTTCTGGTGCTGCTGCAAGAAAATATAAGGCTGTGGGTATTCTGTAGTAGACTCAAAATACACAAATCAGAAGTGATTGTGGCTATGTCAATAAGATATTTACCTGGATGAACTGACTAATTCCCACTGTTCCTTTAAGTACACCCCTACAGCAAAAAATAGAACGGTCCAATTTTTCCAAGCATGTGACTGCACGCAGGCTCAAGCATCATCCTCATTCCTTTGTCGTCGTCAAATGAGCGATGACCACACCTACGGTTCTAGTTTTGTCATTGGGGTGTTCTTAAAGGAACAGTGGCAATTAGTTTATCCAGGTCAAGTATTCACAAAGCAGACACAAGTTCCGCCATTAGTCTTACCTTAGCTCCCCCTTTATCTTACCTTTAAATGAGATAGACAGATAGTTAAGAAGTAGTGCCAATTTGAGAGGAAGAACTGTTTCTGACTAACACACAACAGACATGTGACCAGTGGGAAGTATGCTAATGAATGCTTCTTCTTGCTGCATGGATCAAGAACAGTTTGGTAGAGTTTTTCCACAAAGCTTTTCAGCACTGGAATATTGACCTCATGTTTGACACACTGAAAAAAACAAAGGAAAATTATTTTTATTTATTCAACAATAATAATTAAATATGATACATATATTTGTATTTACTTAATTAATCACTCACTTATTGTAGATACTAAATTATTATTATTATTTTTATTATTAACATTATTACTATATTATTGTACTACAGTTTTACGTCACGATACCATGTGATAATACTCTGTTGCTATCAGCGACACAAAATTCGTTCAACCGACGCATTTTCTCCACTGACAAACTATTGATCCCAATTTTTAACGTAATTATTAAGAAGTTGTATCTTAATTTTTCTTTGTAAATTGATGATTAAATGTGTTTGATAACTAAAATAATGCGAGCTTTTTGTGTTTTTAGTACATTTTTATGGTAAATTATTAGGTTTTAAAATGCTTATTCCAGAAAGCCTATTCTAAACCACTAAGATTATGAAGTCATTCAGGGGTAATGAACAATAACAAATGTCTGGTTGACAACAAGAGGGCGCCACATAGTGTTGTGAGGACACGACTGTTGTACTGTATTATTGATGTATTAATTGAATAATAATAACAACAACAACAATAACAATAATAATAATAATAATAATAATAATAATAATAATAATAATAATAATAATAATTTAGTATGAAATATAATAAATGAGATACATTCATAATATATTTTTTGTATTTTTTTTAAATATATGTTAATTGAATAACAACAACAATAATAATAATAATTTAGTATTAACAATAATAATAATATATTTTTTTGTATTTATGCAATTATAACATCAATAATAACAATAATGTTTACAATATTAATAATTTAGTATTAACATTTTAAATATGTTACACTTTATAAAAAAGATTAATGCAACAGTAGTAACAATGATGACAATGACAACAATTAATAATAACAATAATTATCATATTTGTTGACAATAATAATAGGGTCATTCCGTGCCAACTCAACAAATGGGATGGCTGGGTACCGTCTCAGATTTTCTTGAAACTCGGATATAATGTGCACCAACATGTCTCACGAACAAACCCAAAATTTGACTTGCCAATTCCAAGTCGTTTAGAAGTTACGGCCATTTGAAATTTAAGGGTCATACCCCTTTTTAGCTATCAATTATGACATATTTGTAAAGTTGCATTTTCAATTAGCCATATCTTCAAATAGAATAAAGATAATTAACTGAAAATTGATATCTAGACTAACTTTTGGCTGTAGAACAGGAATATAACATGACTATTTTTTTTAAATATATGTTAATTGAATAACAACAACAATAATAATAATAATTTAGTATTAACAATAATAATAATATATTTTTTTGTATTTATGCAATTATAACATCAATAATAACAATAATGTTTACAATATTAATAATTTAGTATTAACATTTTAAATATGATACACTTTATAAAAAAGATTAATGAAACAGTAGTAACAATGACGACAATGACAACAATTAATAATAACAATAATTATCATATTTGTTGACAATAATAATAATGACAATAATGATTTGCCATTTTTGAGCTAATGAAAATACACATACGAACAAAATGTGTGATGAGTTAGTGGATCATATAAATCTTAACATTATAGAAATATGAACTTACTGCAGCTACCGGAATAAGAATTTCGACTAAAAGTCCAGCGAGGGCGTGCTTTATATCCTTATCCTTGAGGTCAACAAAATAATTTGCGCAATCATGAAGCAACTTGCAGGAGGCTTCAAAGTCGTCCATAGTCATCATTTTCACGCGGTAGAATTTCATGCCCATAATGAGGCTGATGATACTCTGCGTCGTCTGCACGTTCTGAGGCTCGGAACGAAGCTCTTTCAGCTCCGACAGGAAACGCTTACGCACAGACATGTACCGTGTTTGCGCAACGACCCCTAGCACCTCAGCATAAAGGTCAGCAATTATGTGGAAATTTTCGGCATTTGGTCCAGCTTGTAATCTATAAAAAATAAAAGAATTATTTCTATGTTTGTGGATATTGTTATTCATCCAGGTAAATATAGTATTAATACAAGGAATTAAATAAATCGTATCTACTGGACTTATTTGTTTATTCATTAGCGATATTCTGTGGCTAAATGCTGCTGATGGTTTGAGAGGCGAGGGGGGTCAAGGAGGCCATTTACGTCAAACGGGAGAAGCCATCACTCAATCAGGGAGGTGGACTTCGGCATAACTTGGTGGGGGCGTATAGTTCTGCTATAAAGAAAATCCCATCAAGATTTCTCTCAAGTTCCACCTGTGACATTTCATCTGACATCACAAGTCAATGACCTTTAGCCACAGAACACCAGTTGGCCTGATGATGCGTCCTGGATTGGACGTGAGATATCGCTATTGAATAAACAAGCAAACCCAGTAGATACGACTTTATTTAATTACTTGTATTCATAAGAGTTATTTCTATTAGTTTTGAGACGAGACTTTTGTTATACGTTGTTTTGCGAACTTATTTTTCAAAAAGGTCGTCAGAGGGCGAAAAAAAAAATTAAAATAAAATGTTGTTCTCTTATTTAGCAAGTAGTTTTGCCAAATATATTCTGAGGAAGGAGAAAATAATATAATAAAATTTCATTGGTGAATGTAAACAGTGTAGTAATGGGATGGTTAAATGCTTTAAATATTATCAGGAAGAAATATACATAACTTTTTTTTTGAGATTCAAGGCAGCAACAGGCATAATCAAAATTAAGGAAAACTTTAATTTTTTCTTTTTGTGGAGAAAGGTGCGTCAATTGTTCAAAAATAAAATGTTATTTTTATTCGAAATTATCATTATTGGCGGGTGCCAGGTTCGCTAAACAGGGTATAAAAAATGATACTAGGAAAAGCATCTTGAAAATTGCATAATCCACTATAACATGATATAAAAAAAAAAAAACTGAAACAATTTTTAACAATGATAATGAAAATAATTATTATGATTTGATCTAATCCGTGTTTAATAACCATAGAGCACAGCTGAAGCTGACTTCAGAAAGTAAAACATAAAGAGAATGGCAACTTACACTTCTCTATGTTTGAAATGCTTGAAGGCAAGTGTCTCAATGTGGACAACCATCTCATCCGGTACAGGGTGGACTGGAAGCTGTTTAAGAACCTCTATCAACACCAGACAAAAAAGAAAATCCACAGCAAGCTAAATCAACAAAATTAAAAAAAAAAAAAAAAAAAACATAATTAACAACATTGTGATAACAAAAATAAAAATACCATAAATGTTTCAATATGCCTTTTTCACAAAAGCCCTGTCCATTATATCCAATTTCATTGGACAAAAACATGTGACATATGCCTAAATATGGTCATGATGACACCACATCATGACCATATATAGACACATCATGACTATATATGGACATACAACAGTTTTTTTGTCAAATAAAATTTGATAGTCTCGACAGGGCTGCTAAGCGCCACTCTTATTGAAATATACTATATTTTGAATAACTATCAATTTATATAAAAATCATATAAAGATTAATTTGGAGAGCAGCTTAGCATTTGAAGGGCAGCTTAGCTCAGTTGGATATTCTGGTGGTAGCCACTGTGCGTGTGCACTGAACCGTGTAGATCGCTAGGTCCCCGGTTCAATTCCCATCGCTGCCTCTCCTTGTGTTTCAGCTAGAGGGATGAAATACAACTTACAATAGCGCATCGTCTTTTGGATAAGACATTTAAGCCGTCGGTCCTGGGTGCATTTATGTCCCATGTGTATGTTAAAGAACGCAGTATACCCTTCTTAAAAGAGTAGTGGATCGTCTCCCGGTGTACTGCCCAATCACCACCAGAAGGACCCCACTGGAAATAATTCTTCTTCTTGATTTTTGTGGGCTATCATTGGTGTTACACCAAATAAATTCAATCCAATCCAATTTAATTTATCAACAATTAATTTTTATATAATATTCCTATTGCACAATTTAATTATGTCATAGACATATAAACTTAAGTCAAGATTTTGAGAATAGTAATTTATGATGAGATGTTGGGAAAAAAATTTGGTTTTAAAGAATATGAAATATTTAATGCATGAAGAATCGTCAATTAAACTTACATCACGCCTCTCTGCAAGGAAATCCTTTTCACTAAAAAACAAAACAGAAAACATCAGGCTCGTATCCAGGGGGGTTTTATGGTTCGGGAAAACCCCCCTTTTCTAGCAAACCCCCTCTTTAAATTTCCCAAATAAGTCCTCTAACCCAACTAATGCACTGCAGACCCACCCAGACACAAACATTTTCAAACATATCTGCTTTTATAGCATTATTTAGACCTATAAAGCACAAAAATCCTCTTGCTTTGGGGGTTTCGCCGATCCCACCGGGGCTTCCACTGTGGACCACACGCCCAGAAAATCCCCCTTGGAAGAACCTGGCTACAGGCCTAAACATTTATTAACAGTATGTAGTACAGTTTTTCGACTTAGCATTATCATGACTGAAGACAGAGAATTGTGGCAGTAGGCTGTGCTCAACCGTGGCTTAACTAGAAGTCTTGAAATGGTGGGGAGTTGTGCCTATGGGGGATGCAAAGCTGGAGTGGGGGCTTCAAGACCTGACAGGGGACCTAAGTGGCAAAATAGGGTGATAAACTACTTGAGCGTGATATTTTTGCTTCAGATATTTTCAGTGGGGAGCCAAGCATCTGTTTTTTTAGGGGGAAGGGGAGCATGCACCACTGGGGCTCAGAGGGTGTCAACCTACGCCCAGGGAATCAGTATATCCACAGATGCATCAAAGCTACTCCGGTGTTGGTAATAAACCAGTAAAGAAGATCCCTAAATTAAAACTGAAATAAGGAGCATAAAAGAAACCAATCTTTGTACTCACCCTTTCGCCTGATTCTTTGTTTTTTGTCGCTGACTCGAGCTGTCATCCTCGTTCTGAAGGTCGTACCATTCAAACAGCGTCTTCAGTAGAGATGGAAGACAGTGCTCGGCAACTGCACTCAGTGAACTTAGCAACTATTTAGAGAATTAACAAATAAGTTAAATTATGTATATTTTGACAACATGAAGTAATACAAACTATTAATACAATAGAAATTAAAGTATTTGTTTAACAATAACAATAGTACTAATAATGCAATCTAAAAATGATAAAATAAAAAAAAATAAAATATTTTTTCACCTGATCAAATTGTGGGTCTTCTCGTCTCTGTAGTGACTTCGCTAGAGGGCTTTCCTTTTGGGAAAAAAATGTTTGTAAAATTAACATAATTTTATATAGCTCTTTCCAGTTTAAAGTGACAAATCTATTTGATTTGCCCATATTTGGGCATGATTTTGACATCATAATGCCTACATATAGGTGTGACATGACATCATCAAGCCCATATATGGGCAAAAAACACTAAACAACTCTAAAACAGTAACTTACCAGTGATTCTCCCATCACCTTCTCAATTTTCCTCTCTGCTTGGATGGTAAACTCTGCAAATAAGCTCTGCAGTACATATTGCCCTGGTTTGACGTTGGTGTCGATTGATATGCTAAGGCTAGAGGGAAAGGACTCCAAGTGGTCTCTCTCCATGATCCATGGCAGGGAGAGTGTGTCAGAAGACGTGCTGGTCGCCAGGCTAATAGTAGAGCCTGCAAGTTGAGGAAAAATGTAGAGGGTTACATTGGAATACATTTCTTAAGGGGTTTATGCACTTAAATATTCTGAAAAACGAGGTACATTATGTCTTTCCATTTTATAACCTTCCCATTTCCAATTGGACGTTGAAAGGGGCTGGTGGGAAATGATAATCTCTGTTATCCCCTCACCAGTGGCGTAATGCCTATGCACTCTTCTGGGGAGGTCTGCAGGGCCCCCCACCCCTAGGGGCCCTACCCATGTCCTCGATCTATCACCCTGACCCAAAAGAGCTTTTGATAATAACAGCATAATGTGTCGCTGACATCAAATGCAGGGCGTATATCATATATCCAGTGACGGATGAAATTAAGAGGTGGGCAGGCAGCCTGTCTCTCCCCCCCCCCCCTAAATTTTTCAGAATTTATTTAATGGAGTTCCTGGGCCCCCCTCTATTCATTCTTAGATCCACCACTGATGATATATCATTTATTTCATCCTTAAAACACATTTAGAATACAAAGACAAACACTGAAAAAAAAATGAGCACATCTAAAATCCCACAATGGAATTGGTGACCAGGACCCAAAAATGGTCTCCAGACACAGAAAGTGACATGACACCCAGGCCCAGAGTTACACTATGCCCCACGCCTTATTAAAATTTTGAAATGAAATATGGTAACTAATTCAGGAAGTATCAACAGAAATATTGTATTATACTGTACCTGTCTTATCACTTGTTGTAGACATCTTGATAGCTTTCTATGGTGTCTTCAATTCCATGTTTTGCTTGATGCCATCTTATTCTTGTTGATGGCCTGGTTAGGCCCAGATTGGCAGCACTACTTAACACCTGTAAATAAGTATAGTTTTCCAAATTTACTGAGTTTTAAACCTGTCAAATTGTAAGGTATAGTCCCCACTCCTGATTTCCACGTAGATGTTGCAGAAAATCAGGAAGAATGTATTAATATGATGCAGTAATTTACGATTCTCTGCACCACTTTTCCTAGTGATTTTCCAAGCAAATTTGAGCTGGTTTTTGAGGGTACTGTAATGTAAGAGCAAATAGAAAAGTTTATTGGAATATCACTCCCGGGAAATATTGAACGCCCTCCCTCATCAATTTTTTTTTTTTTTTTTAAAGAGTAATATCTAATATTTTTTTCTATGTGCCCTAAAGTATATCATCCGCATAATTAAAAAAGACTTTACAGTAAGGATCTAGTAGTATTAGTAGAACTACTACACAAGGCCAACATAGGCCTAGGCCTATCCTTGGCCAGATGTCAAACCAACAAAGGGCCATTGGACCTACCAAGCCTCAAGGTCTTACTGACGAAATGAGTCATGCAAAATAAATATCTTTCTCAAGCTGTCCCTACTGTACTGAGGCCTGCCTAGCTAGGCCTAGGCAGGGCTAGCCTTTGTCATTGTATGGCTGACAGTCAGAGAGAGCTAAACAAAACTGGCATGAAACTCAAAGCACGATTAAACGCGGCTTCATTAAAATGACATACTGAAATATACAAACCTTACTATAAATACAACAAAATCTCTGATAACAGGAAAGAACAACGACAATTTTTCATTTTACGCCTTATTAATTTTAATAATGGTGTTTCCACTATTTTTAATATAGCGTCCTCTACGAAATTCAATGATAAACCGGGAACCAACGGAACCAAACTTTTTAGAAAGAGGGCGGCGGACTGATATTATCTGTTATTAGGTTTTACAGTAATTATTTGTTGGCATAATAAAGAGGGGGAAGACTGAAATGTACCGATATCAGGATAACACTCCTGCATTGATATCGGTATTGTTATACTCCTATACAACTTTTTAACATTATTGTTAAAATTAATTGATTCTTTAAATATTTTATTCATAATTTAATTCATTTACTAACAATTACTGTAGATCATTTTCAGCACACGCATTTATTTGACATTTTATCAAAACATAATTACTACCCTCTATAATTACCGACTACGTAAACTTTTTTATAAAGCATCATTCGTTGAAACTATGAAAATAGATAATCATTATTAAGTACTTTCTCGATTAATTACTTACTTTAAACTGATCTGTAGGTAGTTAAAACGCTCAATATTTCTCTCTTTCCAAAACGGTTGTTATGCTTCTGGAGACCTTTGCCAGCCATGGGACAAGAAGAAGACAGTGTCGGGCTTAGTACTAGGCTACTAGTACCTACTATGGCATACATTAAGTTGTGTCGGAAGATTAGTAAAAGCAATATAAACACTTTATTTACACATTCCTGTATAACACCATTTCACAATTTTGATTTTAATTTGAAAGTAAAATTCAAGAGTAAAATTCAGTCTAATTTAGAGCGGATCCAAACTTTTTTAAACGTGGTGGGGGTGGGGGCACAACAGTTTCAGAATAGAAAAAGTGAGTAGCACATAACACATTAAAATTATTAAACTTTAGTGGCAAAACATGGGGGGAGAATACTTTCCCCTGGGCCCCTAATCGATGAATAATTTAACTACAATACTTTATGTCACATACTTTATGTGAATATCAGAACATCAAACTTCTTGTAGACTCTACGATTTCAATCAATGCTTTTGCTGCTTATTTTAAGCGACTGAAGTGTGAAGTGAAAAGAGTTTTCAATCTGGCCAGAAATCGGTGCTATAGCAAGGCCGGCAGAACCAGGGGGGGGGGCGGGCCCTCCCCCACTTTTTGGCAGAAAATGTATAATGTCTTATGGAGATTTTATTATAATCGGGAAAAATTCAAGAAAAGAAAAAGGGAAGAAGGAGGAGAGAGAGGGGAAAGAGAGTGTTTATCCAGTCCCCGACCGTAGATTTTCTAGCAACTCTCATTGGCGGATCTGGGGATCAGAGGTCCTGATACCCCTCGCTTGGGAAAAAAAATAAAATAAAAATAAAAGGAATTCTAGACCCACCTTTTCAGACCCGTGAGCTGATTTTTTTTTTGTTGTGCTAAAATAAGAAAATTCAATTTAATTTTTAATTAATATGTTTTCATATTCCTTTTTTATTTCTTCCATTTTTATAATTTTAATTTGGTTTTATGCCTGGTGCTGTACTTTTTATTCATTCTTTCTTGTTTATGTTGTGAATTTCTTGAATTTTGGTGTTCTGTATTTAAATCTTTAAGCAATTATTGTAATATACCCATATACAGTCTTTTGGCTGTCTGTTTGTAATTTTTAATTCATATTTTTATCTGAATAAAGAATAAAGACCTTGAATACAAAATTAGTCGGGAAAGCTAATTTCCCGCAATCTAGGAATCAACATTTTCTCGAATGGGGACCCCCGGCCCCCTTTTATTTTTCGGTTCATCGATTTATGGAAAAAAATAATACGTATGTAAAGCATGTATACCGGTACAAACATAATTGGCCTATTTACTGTAATAAGAATGAGAACAATTTATCTTACCGTTTTTAAGGGGAAAAACTTGAATTTTGAAGAACTTTAATAAAAAGTCATTAAAAGACACTTCAGAAGTCGGGAAAGCTCATATCCCACATTTAGAAATCAACATTTTTTCGGGGAGAATCCGAACCTCGTTTCTCTTTGGGGTTTATTGATTCATGGAATCGTTTTCAAGA